AAATTTGACTAGACCAGAGGATATACACTGGTACAGATAAGAACTGGAAACACAGGGAATCCAGGATAGATGATCCCTTTAGGACCAGTGCCAAGAGTGGCGATACTGGAAGGGTGGAGGGAGGGTGAGGTGGAAAGGGGGAACCGATTACAAGGATCTACATATAACCTCTTCCTGAGAGATGTACAACAGAAAAGTGGGTGAAGGGAGACGTCAGACAGTGCAAGATATGACAAAAAAAATAATTTATAAATTATAAAAGGTTCATGGGGGGCGGGGCAGTGAGGGGGAAAATCAGGAGATGATACCAGGGGCTTGGGTGGAGAGCAAATGTTTTGAGAATGATGAGGGCAATGAATGTACAGATGTGCTTTACACAAGTGATGTATATATGGATTGTGATGTTGTATGAGCCCCCGATAAAATGATTTTTTAAATGTGATAAAAAACTCAGCTTGTACACCTTAAACCTTGATTCTTCCTCACTTCCCTTATCAAATTTAGTGTCCAAATCTTACTGTTTATAAGTATTTCTCAATTCCACCCACTTCTCATTTCCACCACCTTAGCCTTTCAACTGCTAAGAGCCTAAGAGTCTACTCTACACGCTTCCTGATACCAGCATGTAAACAACAGTCCTTAAACAGTATTTTGTATGTGCACTTCTCTGGGAATAAAATCACAGACCAATCTCAAGGCCCTTCCCTTCTATTCAAATTAATTTGGCTTCTTGAGTTAAAAGAGGATGTTATGTGTGTAGTGCTACCCTGGGTGCTGGTTACATGCTTAGTTTTGAAAACTGGTTACACACACAGTGTATTTCAAAACAAGGAAATTACCACCACAGAAGTTAGGCAGGGAAATGAAATCCCATTTCCTTAGCACAACTTTCATTTAAGCCTTTCTTAAGGCAGCCTTACTTAGTGCCACACTGACCAGTCACCAAAGGTTCACTCTTCATTGAACTGTTTACAACTCCTGGCCTTGGCACTTTATTTATGCTACTAGGTACTCTTTTAATCTCATCTTAAATATCACTTCCTCTTGGAATATTTATCGTTCTTTTTCCAGGCACCTCCTTTCTCGTTGTGGAGTCCTCTGCATACTTTTATCCTTTTCAGGGGAAAAGAGGTGAACGTGTGATAACTTGCTTTTGGTTCTGCTTTTGATAAACAGTGAATCATACATATAAGCAAGAACTGGTTCACTGCTCCTGGAACTTTGTTACTCTGGATTCATGTTCACTGATGTGTAACACTAACAGAAACCTCTTGTACAACTATGGCCTCCAATTACAATGTCAACAACAGCCACAAATACTAAGCAAGATAGCTGTCACCATGAAATGGAGAGTAACTCCAACAATCAAATGGTATTTTAATATAGATGAAGTGAAAACATACATATACTTTACATGAGATTTTCCATATTTACGAGGTCTAAGAACCTCGTTATTGGTTGAATCTTTGGCATGAGAACCAATGGCATAGAACAATTAGTAAAACTGGGGAGATTTAGGACAGGAGGATTTTATTGAGGAATCAAGTGTAATTTTAGTATTCGCTTTTACCCCATTGGATTACAATGTTTTGAAATGTTGTGTATAGGAACTATGAGCATAATAATTTAAATAAGAGTGACAAAGAGGGGCACATTTTGACACATGTACCATAACCTTCAGTGTTATGTATACACACATACACATATACCACATATATTCAGAGGCAGGGAGACAAAAGTTTAGAGGTGATTAGTCTGGGGCTTTCAGAGAACAGTGTTATTTGCTCAAAATAGTGAGAAGTTAGAATTAAGAGTGCTTTGATGATCTATGATTTTATACTCAGAGAACCTAGACTTCACTTTTAGTGAATTATTCCAAAAGGTTCAGTAATCTCAGAATTGGTGTGAGTAATTTCCTTTGATAGTAGGAAAGATTTTCACTAAACTTAATTGTTACACAAAACAAAAAAGAAAACCCAGTAAGTTTTAATGATAAAAACACAGATGTATCAATCAGTTTGCAGTAACTTTTAAATAAGACCAAGAACCAGAAACCAGGACTTTAAAACTGCATGCAAAATCTAGTTACTATAACCAAAGCAAAACAAAAACAACTCAGGTTCCTATAGACTCCAGGCTTATTTGCAATCCTTGGTGATCAGAATCTGTACACTGTTGTTACATGCCCTCAGTAGTGTTAAGATTACTCTTATAGGACTAAAAATACCTTCCACATGTGGAAGATATAAAAAGGTGTCTACCTCCACCTTTACAGGTGATCTTGCATAAAAAGGCACTCCCAAAGATTTCTTGGTAATATCTTCGCTGTTTCTTACTCACATAATCTGCACATGTAAAACTAATGGTCCATTCATCTGAGAGGTATAAGGAAACTACAAGGCATTGGAACCGCTTTTCATTCACATCCCAAATAACTGGTTTTCTTACCCATAATTTTGGATATCAGTTTCAAATAACATATCTAGGCTTTCCCCCTCTATTTAACCACTAGACTTGGGCATGCTTAGTTAAATATGTCACGGGGCTTGCAGGACCTGTCAATGATTATGGCTGAGGGATCATTCAATCATTACTGTTTCCTAACATCATCTGCTTCCAGCTCCATCATTCCAATTCAACTTTGTCCCAAATGCCTTTCTTCACTCTGAGTAATCTGAACCTAGGTTTAACCTTTCTGTTAAAAATTTCATTAGGTTCTTTAATATCTAAGTCTTTCTCTGTGACAATCAAAACAAAAAGCAATGGAAGTCTGCAACTGCCCATAGGCATTTAGACACTATAACCTAATGACAAAGAAAATTTGATTTATTAGATTTGACTCATATTGAATTGAGAAACTGCACTTGAATCTCTAGTCTCAAATCAAATTGAGCGTTAACCTTTTTTTACATTTACTATATCCATGCTGAATGCAATTTTTGATGCTGAATAAGAGAAATGTGGCAGTTGAAGGCTTCACCACAAGCATCACATTCATGGGTTTCTTGGATTTTTATTTCTGCATGGATCTTCTGATGGTTGACAAGGCTGCGCTGTTGACTGAAACTTTTGTCGCACTTCTCACACTTATATGGTTTCTCACCAGTGTGTATTCTTTGATGCTGAATTAGACCTGAGTTCCGACTAAAGGCTTTCCCACATTCATCACATTTATGGGGTTTATTCCCCGTGTGGACACCCTGATGTCGAATAAGATTACAAAGCTGACTGAAACTTTTGCCACACTGTCTGCACAGGTAAGGTCGCTCCCCAGTGTGGATTCTCTGGTGTTCAATGAGAAACGAGCTCCTGCTGAAGCTTTTCCCACATACGGTACATAGGTAAGGCTTTTCCCCAGTGTGGATTCTTTGATGTTGTACAAGATGAGCACTAACACTAAAAGTCTTTCCACACTCTTGACATTTGTAAGATTTCTCCTTAGGGTAGATGTCCTGCTGTATTACAAGGCTGCAATTTGGATCAAAAGTCTCCTTAGTTTCATTGTATGGATAAGTTTTTTCTCTGGTATGAATTCTCTGATGCTGAATAAGGCCTGAACTCCTACTAAAGGCTTTTCCACACTCCTCACATTTATGGGGTTTGTCTCCTGTGTGAATTCTCTGATGACGAGTAAGGTTGCAGAGCTGACTAAAGCTTTTTCCACACTCTTTGCACTGATAAGGTCTTTCACCTGTATGGATCCTCTGATGTTCAATAAGGAATGAACTCCGACTGAAGCTTTTTCCACATTCAATACAAAGAAAAGGCTTCTCACCAGTGTGAATTTTCTGGTGTTGTATGAGATATGTGCTTAGTCTAAAGGCTTTCCCACATTCACCACATTTGTGAGGCCTTTCCCCAGTGTGAATTCTCTGATGTTCAACAAGCAATGAATTTCGACTGAAGCTTTTCTTACATTTGGTACAGTGATAGGGTTTCTCACCAGTGTGGGTTCTCTGGTGTTCAATAAGATGTGACTTCCAACTGAAGGCTTTCCCACAGTCAGCACACTTGTGGGGCTTCTCCCCTGTATGTATCCTTTGATGTTTAACAAGGCTCCTTCTCTGGCTGAAACTCTGTTTACACTGATTACACTGATAAGGTCTCTCTCCCGTGTGGATTCTCTGATGTCTAATAAGTGTTGAGCTCACACTAAAGGTTTTTCCACAGTAGTTACATTCATAGGGCCTTTCCCCAGTGTGAATTCTTTGATGTTCGATAACAAATGAACTTCGACTAAAACTTTTCCCACATTCATTGCACTGAAAAGGTTTCTCACCAGTATGAACTCTTTGATGTTGAATGAAATGGGCTTTGCGGACAAAACCCTTTCCACACTCTTCACATTTATGGCATTTTTCTTCTGAGTTTGGTCTCTTATGGATTATATTAGTATTTCCTCTGAATATTCTTTGTTCCTGGGTCAAAGATTCCCTTGGTATTTCCCATAAGAAGATTCCTCTCTGTTTATCTAACCGACCAACAAGTTCAAATGTTTCTCTATTCATGGGATCCTGGTCAATTTCACTCTTGATTCTTGTAACAATTACACTCTGTGGTTCTACTTCTTCAATATCTTCAATTTCCTGTTTCACAATTGGCTCCTCATCCTTACCTTTGCCCAATACATCTAGAATAACAAACAGAAAATGCAAACATTAGCCAAGCTACTACCTTTAAATCAATTCAAACTTAAAAAAAACTCTGTAGGATAGAGTAGAACACTCCACAGTTGCCAAGGCAGAGTATTTAGAAAAGCTACAGCTTTTTCCTGAGGAATAGTTAGTATGTACAAACCACCAAATTTTGGTTGAAAGCCAAACTGTGTGTAAAATTGGATTCTCCTTTTCTCTACTGAAGCCAGAAAAGAGCAGATGTAGTTCCCATGCTACTGACTCAGTAAGATAGGGAAACAAAGAAATAAAACAAATAGTTTAGGATGAACCAGGCTATCAGTGAAGAGAGGATCATTTAAAAACAGTAGATTTAGAAAAGTTTAGGATGAGAAGACATTATTGGAATTTAAGTAGGCCAAATGACAGAAAGGAAAACAAAGATACCAAGAGAAATATGAGACAAAAGATTAAAAAAAGAAAAATGTTTTTAAAAAAGAAAAAAACAATTAATGTATTAATAGTTTTTTTTTACTACACATTCAGAGCATTCTAGGATGAGCATGAATAGAGAAAGAATATGCTAAAGAAAACATTAAGAAAACAACAGCACCTATGTAAAAAAAGGCTTTAAAAAAAAAAGAATGAAATGACATGGACTCAATACAACAAAGACTGAATAAAAGTAAGTATAAAAGAACATGGTCAGTTAATGGAAAAATATTGAAAAAAAAGAACATATCAAGACTTCATCCCTGTACACTGGTACAGAGAGGAACTGGAAACACAGGGAAACCAGGACAGATGAACCCCTCAGGACCAGTGCTGAGAGTGGCGATACTGGAAGGGTGGAAGGAAGTTGAGGTAGAAAGGGGGAACCGATTATAAGGATCTACATACCGGTATAACCTCCTCCCTGGGGAACGGACAACAGAGAAGTGGGTGAAGGGAGACGTCAGACAGTGTAAGACATGACAAAATACTAATAATTTATAAATTATCAAGGATTTATGAGAGAGGGGGTGGGGAGGGGGGCGGGGAGGGAGGGGAAAAATTCAGAACTGATACCAACGGCTCAAGTAGAAAGCAAATGTTTTGAGAATGATGAGGGCAACAAATATACAAAAGTGCTTGAAACAATGGATGTATGTATGGAGTGTGATAAAAGTTGCACGAGCCCTCAATAAAATGATTTAAAAAAAACCCCAAACCATCAGACAAAAAAAAAAAAGACTTCATCCCTATAAACTACAGCATTTTCTTCAAGTATGATGGGTTCTTTCTCGTCTAAAGATATGAGACCTAAAGCTCACCATCTTAGTCAACCTTGCGTCTGTATTACATCTGAGAAATGAAACTCTTATATCTGTATTACATCTGAGAAATAAAAATCTTACAAAAATAAATGGGAGATTAAGATATAGTTTATTCTTATCCAAGGTCAATTCATCCACCCCTCCTTGATCCCTCTCACCTCTAGCTCAATTAACACCATTCTTCCCCTTTTCTCTAATCTGCTGTCTCTATTGACATCTTCCTTCCCACATATAAATATGTTCAATTTTAGCTCATCTTCAAAAGAAAAAATATTAGCTTTGAGAAAGAATTTAAAATGGCAAGTTCTTCATTTCTTAGACATGTTTCCCAAGTCCTTTTTCTACACAATCTATTCTATAACTGACTATGAATCTGGTTTCTGTTTTCAGCATCCAGTGGAACTTCTCATTGAACCACTGATGACTTTCAAATAACACATGCAATGGCCATTTTTCAGTCCTCATTCTTGCTCAGAGCACTTGTTACTGTTGGCCACCCCCTCATTTCCTGACACTAACCGTCTTTGGGTTTCATGCCATTACATTTTCTCGATGACAGTGAGTGAATCTCATACACACTTATGGGACCTCTCCTCTTTAGAGTCTCAAAGGAGTGACAATTAACATGATCTTTACCATCTGTTTTTATGTCTCTGCCTACCTCTATTCTTCATCTTCTCTTAAGGAGCACCACATCACTCTGGTTAACTTCAAGTATCAAAGCAGGAAATCATTCTAAATCTCCTCCTTTTTTCCACTGTAATTATTTGTGAAAATTATTGATACTCTACTGTGACATGTCACCTTTCCTTTCTACCCTCACAATAATGTTTTACCTGGATTATTGTAGCACCAATCTAATAATCTTTGGCTCTGGTCATTAGGCTGCCTCACACTACATCTGCTTCATGGATTCCAAAAAGATGCTTCATGTAACCACCAGTTTCCTATCACTTTTAAGGTCGAATAAATGTACTTTATTACTTAACATAAAGTTCTTCACATGACACTGTCTATAACCCTCAGCTTGCTATCCTACCACCAATCATATTTTTGATTTGCAAACTGGTTGGGTTATAATCCTTTCTGCCATTTTTTGCAGATATAAAGAAATGTTCCTCAACATTTTCTACAGGGCAAACTCTTGCTTTCCCTTTAAGATTCAGTTCAAAGCAACAGCTCCTCTACAAAGTCTTTACTAATTCAGCCATAAGACAGATTTAGGTCTTCGACTCTTATCACTGGCCTACGTCCATAACTTTATGGTAGCTATTACCATACTATACTACTATTATGCTTTCATCCCTAGTGTTTCAGCAGAAATTTATTATTTTCTACAAAACATACGTGTAGCTAATTATTAATAACATTTTGCAAACCCGGTGTAATAATATACTTAACTTTTAGGTGCTTATATGTTTGCCCCTTTCATTGGATTGTAGTTTTCTTGTGAGAAAGAATTCTCTTCCTTGCATATTGTTCTGGGATTTTACTCAAAGGACTAAGACAAAATTATTATTTGCAGATGATATCATTATGAAAAGTCCTAAAAGAAGCAAATGAAAATCTAAAGAAACTAGACAGTATAGTAAGGTGGCTAAAAACAAGATTAATATATGAAACTGGTTGTTATGCATGAACAAATAATAACTAAATATTATACAAAGGAGCTTTGGTGGTACAAAGGGTTAGGTCTTTCCCAACATGGGTGATACCACATCCAGGAGGGGCTGCAAACAGATACATATACTTTCCTGGATTTGGGACTATAGTACAAAAGTTTTTAATTGCCAGGGGGCTGTAATGTTTGTTCTGAAAAGGGGGCGCTAAGCCAAATATTTTGGGAAGCTACAGGTTAAGCGGTTACGCGTTGGGATGCTATTCACAAGGTCAATGTTTCTAACCCACCAGCCACTCTTCAGAGAAAGATTTTAAAAAGCTGTCTGCTCTTGGAAAGATGTGCAGTCTCAGGAGTCCTAAGGAGCAGTTCTTACTCAGTTCTATAGTCTCTGTGAGTCAAGAGTGGTGAGTGGGTTGGATGCTACAGTGGCTAAACATTAAGCAGATAACTGTAGCGTGGCAGTTTGAAGGCACCGACCGTTCTGAGGGAGAAATGTGTGGTAGTGTGCTTCCACCAGGATTTCACCCTGGGAAGCCCTGTGGGGTGGCTCTACTCTGTCCTATAAGGCCACTATGATTCAGAGTCAACTTGACAGCAATCAGCACATATTTTAAAATAAACTAAAATATGTTCTATACAATAGTAACAAAAACATAAAATCTATGTTTTTAATAAAATGTTTATAAGGATCTCAAATCATCTTAAGTTAATCTATAAACTTAAATGTATCCAAACCAGAGCTTTATGAACCATCATCTTCTACCCCCAAAGTCTAAATTTATTAAAGTAGTTAAGTGGCAAAACAGGGAGGGTAAAGGGAGAATGGGTAGGAAAGAGGGAACCGATTACATGGAACTGTGTGTGACCTCCTCCCTGGGGGACAGACAGCCAAAAAGTGGATGAAGGGAGACGTCGGACAGGGCAAGATATGACAAAATACCCATTTACAAACTATCAAGGGCTCATGCGGGAGGGGGGAGCGGGGAGGGAGGGGAAAAATGAGGAACTAACGTCGGGGGTTTAAATGGAGAGAAAATGTTTTGAGAAACGATGTACAAATGCGCTTTACACAATTGATGTGTGTATGGATTGGGATAACAGTTGTATGAGCCCTAATAAAATGTTAAAAAAGAGAAGAAAAAAAAAGTAGTTAAGGGTTTCATGAATAAACTATATGAAAGGTTTTATTTTACTAAACATAAATATGTAAATAAAACAAAATGGCCCTTCCATAAAAAAGATTAAAAAGATAGGCAGGTGAAGAACACTTGTGAGATCTAGGTTTCTATGTCTTGAAATGATTATTCATTACATCAACGATTAGTAGCTGTAATCACACTTTGGGTATGCATGCATTTTATGAGGAGGCTTCAAAAAATTATAGAAGAATTAAAAAATAGTGGAATCTTTCCACAAACTTTTTATAGCCCCCTTGTATGTTCCCACCTGTGGGAACATGGTACTGAGCTGAGCATGTCTAACTTCATTATTTCAATCTGTCTTCTATCTCTCATGTTCTCCTTGACTTTACTATAATCTTTACTTATTATCGCCTTACAGTTGCGCCTACCAGACCTGTGATGATTTGGTAGGGGCTCTCTCCCCTGACACCCATCCAGTGGTATGCTAGATTCAAAGTGGGCCTCTCTCAGGAATTTGGAATTGAAACTGAAATATTTAGTATGAATATGACTAGAATTGATATCTATTATTGCAGAAATAAAAGATACAGAAACATGTAAAGAAGCATGAGGAAAAACCAGTGTGTCCTGGGAAACAGAACAAAATAAGAGAAATTCCTGTCTTCCTGAGAGAATGATCCAATTTCTGCTTTCTGCTTTTTCCTGATGTCTAGTTATAACCAGGCTCTCAGATTCTCTATCTCCATGTCCCCATCATAACTTTCCATTTTGGGTTGCACTAGCTTGAGTTGGCCTCCATAATCTTTAACCAAAAGGTTTAATAATATGTAAACTGAAGGGAGAGAGAGAAGGCAAGGAAATAGCAAGGTTGAATGGATGGGTTTTAAGAAAGCACAAAATTCAGCAATTTTTTTTCCCCTGTAAAAGTTCAGAGAGTAAATATTTGGGGCTAGGGGAGCTTTGTGGTCTCAATACCAACTACTGAATTCTGTCCTTATAATGCAAAAGCAGTCACAGACAGAAAATAATGAACTGTCTGTATTTCAATGAAATTTTATTTACAAAAACAGGCAAGGATCCAAATGTGGCCTACAGAGCACAGATGGCAACCCAAATATTTAGGGTAATAATGACAAAAACAATTTTCTTGGTAAAATGTGAGAAAGTTAAAGAATACATTTCTACCACAGTGCGTGGTCACTATTTATTAAATGAATACAAAATTAAACAAAGGATTGGAGAGAAATACCACAGAGAAAGAATGAGTTCAAGTCCTTGAAGGTGCAACAATTCCAAGTTCTTCAAAACCCAATGTGGCTCATGTTGTCTGGAGAGAAGTCATTAAAATTGCAAAAGTCAAAGAACTAAGACTTCAAGTCATCAGCTGAACCATTAATATAGCTATCAAAGTTTAAAAAGAAGAAGCATAGAAAAATATGAGGAGCCAAATACTACAAAGGAAGTAGACCATTACATTATGAAAAGGAAGGAGATGATGTGGAGGGGTACTACACTGACACCTTAGAGTTTTCGTAGTGTTCTCTCATCAAGGGGATGAAATGAGGTTATATAGAAGTAGAACAGAGTGTGAGAGACAAAAATAATAATGGGAAATTGTGTTTCATTAAGAGAGTTTGAAAGTACAAAACTTACTACCACATCTTTGTTCATCTTTGTTTATATGGTACTTAAATGTTGTAGTCTAAACCAGGCCAAGTTGGACATCTGGTATCGACCAGGATACCACATGTGTAGATAAAGCTGGCAATGACTGCATGGCAAAGGGTTGTAGTTTAGAGTCTAAGCTTTAGACCGATGGGAGAACAATTTACGGGAGTAAAAAGACAAAAAGGCTTAGAGATAATGGGCAATAACAAAGTGCAGAACATAAATTATTCTACTCTTATAAAAACGTGTCTGTGCAGAATGAGTAGCAAGTTACAGGTAGTAGCAAGAGAGACCTTAGGTACACCCCTCCAATACTCCCTTTCTTCTCCAACTGGGAAGCGCCCCAAACATGCAAACATTATAAAGTTACTAATCAAGAAGGAGAAACCAATACTACAAGGGGGAAAAAGGATGACTGGTGTGAAAGTCTTTGTGAAGTGAGAAGACAGGAGCAGCTTTACATCTGCAGATGATGTGCAGAGAAATTGAAAATACATGCCCAGTGGGCTCCATGTGCTCTGTGAATCAGAAGGTGAGGTCCACTACTAAGTGATACACCTAAGGATGTTTTTAACTTTTAGAATCCTATGGTTACTATAAAGAACAGGGAAATGAGCAAACCAAGGGCAAAAATAACAATTTAAAAATTGCTGAGATGTGGAGACTCAAAGGAAAAATCCAGGCATCTACAGAGGGCAAACAAGATTTTGGTTATAAAATTTCTCCAGCTGTGTCTACCAACTCAGGATAAAAACAAAAACAAAAACCCAAACAAACTCATTGGATTCTGACTTACAGCGACCCTATGGGACAGGGTAAATCTACCTCTGTAGGTTTTTGAGAGTTGAACTCTTTACCAGAGTAGAAAGCCTCATCTTTTCCTCTTGGACCAGCTGGTGTTTTCAAATAACTGACTCTACGGTTAGCAAGCCAACTCATAACCACTGCACTGCCAGGGTCCCTTGCAACTCAGGCAGGAGAGAACTGGCAGTTTGTATAACTGACACAGAATTTGAAGTTTGTAGTGTGGGTAGAGCTTAATACCAATGTGGCAACAGACTATGGTAGTGAGAAACTTATTCAGATATAGGACCATAGATGAGGAGGTAGAGTCCGAAGATTGATAGCCCGCCAAGAAGTCAAGAGATAGTAAATACCATTGGGAATGAATAGGGCTAAGCAGGAAAGGAATAGGAAAACTAGCATGGTAAGTTATTGGGGTTTAAGATTTGTCTGTTATGACATCAAGGGCATGATCAAGGATGGGAGTTGCTTTATAGAACTACAAAGCTGGGTCCTTTCTTGGAGCCCACATGATCAAGTTCCCCTACAGCTCAGGTGTTGGCTGGGTCATCCACTTATTGAACTGAGTAACACTGGAGTGGAGGTGACCGTGAAACCTGTGACAAAGTCTGCATGTGAGGGAACCAAAGAAATGGACAAGGAATTGAGTGGGTAAAGCAAGATTGCTGAGATGACAAACAAAAGAAGGCATTTGAGTGGAAGGTGGAAAAGGAATGTTTGGGGGGAAAAGCTGGGAGTGCTTCTCCCTTTCAACATCGAGGTAATGGATGGTGAAAGAGGAAAGGTGTTGGAGAATTAGCAGCCTCCCCCCTCGAAGAGCTGCCAAGGAAGTGGTGTCCTTGAGAGAGCGCCAGCTTTCAGTTAAGGACAGGAAGAGCAAGGAACAGGATGTGAAGAGGAACAGGGGCTCCAGAAGGCAGAGTGAAAGGGGTGGGAGGAAAGAAGTGGGAGGATGAGCCAGGAGGGAAAGTACAGAGCAACACTGAAATGAGATTAGGAAGACAGGCAGCCAGAAAGACTGGTACTGAAAGGACACAGTGTGGTTTGGATCAGAACTCTGGAATAAAGCAGTGTAGGTACTGAGAGTGATCCAAAAGTTCTCCAAATTTCATTGCTACTAGCCTTTTAGATAACTTTAATCAGAGAAATACGTTTCTTACCCAGTGACACCAGGTTCCCAAAATTCTCCATCATGACATCCTTATAAAGGCTTCTCTGAGCTGCATCCAGATAATCCCACTCCTCCTGGGTAAAAAACACAGCCACATCCTCAAATGTCAGCAAACCCTGAAACAGCATGATTTCTGTAGTCAGTTCCTGTTGCCTCAAGGACAATTCTACCACAGCAAGTGGTAGGAGCAATCACTGATCAGGGCCCAGTAGGCTAGGAGGAACAAGCAGGGCCCGATTCTGTAACAGACACGCATCTTAGACTACCGAATAACTAGGCTGGATCCACCCTGTCCCCATGAGCATGAATAAAGTTTTGTTGGTTTAATAATTATGGCCTAATATTTTAATTTTAGTAAGCCGTCCCAAGGCCTCTCCCAGCTTCTTTCACCGTATGGCTCCACTCCAATTCTCTACTGGCACCAGCTAGTGACCCTGTTCAATTACATGGCACCAGGTCCTCTAGGCATCTACCTTGGGTCTCGGCATGGGGCCCAGAGCAAAGGGCACAGAGGAGGGACAGCAGACCAGATGAATGCCTCCTCTTGAGAAACTCACAAGTGGCCACCTCGGAGTATTACTAATTCTCTTCAGGAAAAAAAGGCGTTTGTGGGCAGTCTGGTCACGACCACACCCCAGAGCACTAGGGGGTAGCTCCTTGCAGGTGCTGGCCTTAAAGAATGCTATAGGATGGCCCCGTGGCGCGGCCAGGTTCGGGTAACAGAGAGAGAACAAGGCTACCCCGAAGAACGACTTACCTTGGGCTCGGGTGGGGGGCTAGGGGAGGCCATTGCCCGGCCAAAGAAACAGGACAGGACCTGCGGGGGCTGCACAGAGGAGCCTTTGGTGAGGCCTATGTGACCACTGGCGATTAGGCCCCACGAAGCCGAGGCCTCCTGGCTGGGTCCGGCCAGGTCCAGCCTCGGTCCAAAGGCGGTCACGACCCCAGCAGCATATCAGGCGCGCTCCCTGACCATTGCTCAGCCCCCAGCCCACTCTTCGGCCAGGTTGCGCAGGCTTCCAGGCCGCCCTAAAGCCTCCTCCCTGCTGCTGGATCCTCCTTTCAGCCGAGGAGCGCTGTGACCGCCCGCCCCCAGACCAGAAGGCGTCACTCGGAATCTTCCCGGGACGCCCCCCACTACAACTCCCGTCATGCTCTGAGCGTGCGCCCCGGTCCAGGCGGTCCGCCAGAACGACCGGACTACATTTCCCAGAGTGCACAGGGCGAGGGTGGAACGTGACGTTGGCGACTGGCTTACACTCCATTGGCTGGTCTCGGCGCGTCCGCACGTCTGCGGGCGGAGCTCAGGCCCGTCGTTCGCCTTGGACATGGCGACTCTGCCGGCTCTGTCTGCGCTCGGCCTTGGGAGGAGAAGCGTCCTCTGGATAGTCGCTGGGGCGCCGCGCCACTTTTGGTCGCGATCCAGGTAAAGCCGGCGGTCAGACTGGGCCATTCTCACGGAAGAGAGAAAGCGGCGAGCAGAGGGACAGGTTGAAACGGGGCGTCACGCTGTTCGGACGGGGCCGGCGAAAGCTCAGGTCCCTAGGCCGAGGGGCGTCTTGCCTGAAGTGCACGTGGGCCGAGTTCAGAGAAAGACACACAGAAAACGTCTTCCCTGGACCAGCGTCTTAAGGGTCCGGGCTGGCTCAGCGGGAACAAAGTTCCTCTGGAACGTCTGACATGGGAGGAAACTGAGGCCCACAGAGGGAGGTATATTTTCTCAGAAGTCACAGGGCAAGTTCATTGAAGAGCTGGGTCTAGGCCACGGGTTACCTAACTCTCATCTGCTTTTCCCACCGCACGGTGAGGAACCTTTGGAAGGTAATAGTTGATTCAAATAGTGTTTTGGCATGCTCTTCAGGGCGCCCTTAGATTTCAAACAAAAACTGCCCAGAAGGAATTTTTACCTTGAACATCAGTTCATGTATCACCTACACCTCTCTATTGACGATTATCTCAAACCTTCACGTTGATGTTTTCAAGTTTATTCATTAAGTCAACAAAGAATATGCTGTATGCCAGGTCGTATTTTTAAGTGTTAGGGATATAGTAGTGATAGGACAACACTCAAAGCTTTCTCTTCTTAAAAGTATGTTGTACTGAAGGAGAAAGTGAGAAAAAAAAATTAAATGTTGCATGTAATTTCGGGAAATGGAAATTGAAGTTGAGCAGAACAAGAGATTAGTGAGACGGGAGGAATGAATTACAGTCTGAGTGTGAGGCACTGTGACTGGCCTGGTTTGAGGAGAAAGATGTGAGCAAGTAGACACAATATCGACAGCTCTTTTGAAAAGCTTTCTCAGAAAGAAGGGGGTGACCTGGAGTCCCGGAAGAAGTTTCTTCTTTAAAGATGTAGGTATTACAGGGGTCTGTATCCATGGGACTATTCTAGCAGAAAGAGAAGAAGATAAACATTTGATGCAGACAGAGGGATTAATTGTTGGAAGAAAGTCTTTGAGTAGGCAAGGAGGACGAGCATTACAAACCATGCTCGTGGCCAGGTGCAGCAGTTTCTGTGGGGATGACTAAATCCAAACAGATGCCAACTCCATGGGAAACAGGAAGCCTGCAGTCCGTGAATAAGTCATATCCAGCACTCTGAATAGTATGCCTGGCAAATACCCAAAAATACTTATTCAAAAAGATATTTGTGTTTTCAGATAGTCCGAAAATAAAACAGGTTTTTGTAGTGAGGAGTTCATAGTCTGGTACAGTAATTCTAAACTGGGGACAGTTTTGCCTTTCTCACTGCTCAGAACTTTGACAGTGTCTGGAGCTATGTTCTGTTGTGAGGGCCTGGGGGTGGGAGTGCTCCTGGTATCTACAGGATAGAGATGAAGCATGCTGTTTAAATGTCCTACAGCCCACAGGACAGTCTCCCCCAACAAAGTATTGCTTAGTTCAAAATATCACTACTGAGTTTGAGAAACCTTGTTCTGAGAAAAATGGAATGTAAGTAAAATGAAAGCACAGGTAGGATGTGCTGTGTCCTGAGAGCAATGGAAACAAAGTGCCGTGGGAGTTCAGAGGAGCTCACCGTTACATTTGATTGGGGAGATTAGGGAAAGCTGCTTGGAGAAAATCGTTTTGTGTTAGAACTTGAAGGATAAATACTGTATATACCCAAGTATAAGCCAACCTGAATATCAGCTGAGGCACCTAATTTGACCACAGAAACTGCATTAAAAATTGTGCTGAAAAACTCGACTGATACACGAGCATATAAGGTAAAATTTCTGCTTGTAGAGATGGAAGGTGAGCATTTCAGGACATAGCTTCAGCCAACTCGTGGTTTCAGGTGAGTGGGGGCACATTTGAGAGGCAGTGTCGTTTGGGTAGAGTTTAGAGAGGTTATAGGAGATTGGTGGGAGATAAGGGAACTAAATTGAGGTCAGATTCTAGAGAACTGGAAATCCCAAAGAGGAGAGTTTCTTCATCCATTCTTAAGAATTCTTACAGCATGTAAGTTTATTGCCTTTGATACTGTGTCAACTTAAACCTTAAGCATCCTGAGGGGACGGACCTGTCTTTTCTGTACAGATGAGTAGTAAGTGTGCAGATCATCTTGGTTTTAGTTGAGGAGCAAGATTGGGTCTGGTGTTTGCTAACTTCCCTTATGTTGTGGACCAAAGATTCACAGATGCTTTTTGATGATTCCAGGAAAGAGAAAGAGCCGGTTGTGGATGAGGTAATAGAAGAGGTGAAGAAAGATCCTGTGCCGGTGTGCCCACCCTTACGAAGCCAAACATACATGCCACCTGATGATCTCCAGGGTCGGCTAGAATCTCGTGTCAAAGAAGTCTTTGGTCCATCTGTTCCTCCGAATTGGCAGGACGTCTCCCTGGAAGATGGTCATCTGAAATTTCGTCTCTTGGCACATCTAGCTGACGACTTGGGCCATGCGGTTCCCAACTCAAAGCTCCATCAGATGTGCAGAGTCAGAGACGTTCTTGAGTTCTACACCATCCCTGTCCAAGACAGATCGATGTTTGATGAACTTACTGCTAGGAACCTGCCTCCCAATTTGAAAATCACTTGGGGTTACTGAGCAAGTCAGAGAAGCAACACATGGAAGGAAATCGCTCTCCCTTCAAGTATGATGGTGTCCTTAGAACTTTGGATATTTTATGCTGTCGAATGCCACCTGTTTTCTAAACCCACATTGTCTATGGGAGGAAGAAGGCATCATCTCCTTCTTTTTCTTCTATCATGAATTGACAAATAGCAGGAGTTTGTTTCAAATTTGCTGATTTTATTTTTTTTTAATGATTAATGATGGATGACATTTTTCTCCAGAGGACACTACAGTTAGCATGGGTGTCAGATAGGAGGCCATTACAAATTTTGAGATGGCTGTTACCTTTTACAGGCATGAAACAGTAATTGCAGGCAAATGCTTTTAGCGCTGTGGGGGGTTCTTAAATCTAAGAAACATGTATATAAAAAAAGTCATAAGACATAAAAGGCTATGTTGCTTATTGTAAGTTGTTTCTTTCTTTGACTGTGGGCATTAATAGAAGAGTAGAAATGGTAGTGATGCGATGCATTCTTTGAAATGAAAAAGACTTCCTAAAGTGTGTCTTAAAATATCTTTAAACGTGAGAACTGGCAGGAAGCTGGTCACCTGCAGCTTTATTTCATGGCACAGCTAGCGGATGACCCCGGCCATGCAGGGCCTCGCCCAGGGCTGCATCCAATGTGTAGTCAACAGTGTTCTTGAGTGATATACAACATCCCTGTTAGGTAAGGTGACCAGATTCAACATTGGTAACGCGGGGCATCATTGATAAAACTCATATCCTGCAAAATAGCCACATGGTAGCTGAAAACCATAGACCCTAGCTTGTGCATTCTTTCAAAAAATCAGGACTTTTTTCAAACGCCGCGGGACACGGGAAAAATTATTAAAAATCAGGACTGTCCCGCCAAAAGCGGGACGTCTGGTCACCTTACTGTTAAGACTGATCTAAACGTGATGAACTTATTGCTAGGATAGGGCTACCTCCCAATTTGAAAGTCACATAGGGGTACTGAGCAGATCCGAAAAGGAAAACATGGAAATTCTTTCCCCACCCCATCCCTGAGTAAGGTAACACTTAAAACTTAAGTATTTTCACTTTGAAAAAATGAAGAACTACACAGTGCTGTGTGACCTCATCTTTTTCTAGTAGTAGATGTATCAGACTTTATATTTCTAAACAAACATTCCCTCTTTCAAAGGAGCTCATCCTTATTTTAAATCCTATGTCAATCATGTGACTTTTAAAGAGTGGCCCTAGTACCTGTGGCGTATATGAGTAGCCAGTAGGCTGGCAGGTCTGTATTTTGGAGTACTTACTATGTGGAAGTTACTCAACTTACCAGATGCTTCTGAATAAGGAATGATTAATCAGTGATTAAATTAGGGAGATGTTTCATCAAACTTTGAATGAGACAGGGAAGGAGTGATTGTTTGATCTTTACCAATAATTCTGAAAGAAACGTGATAGAAAAGTTTTAATCAAAAGAAAGTGCCTTTATTTTCTCCCCAGTCTGAATCCAGAAAAAGGCAAAACAATTAAGCTCTAGCATATTGGAAAAATTAATTACAATACTGTCATACCCTATAAGTATTCTCAGTGGACAATTAGATTTCCAAGAAGCTACTTTTAAGAATCTCATGTGTCGAGTGTCAGTATCTGGAAGTTCAAATAGATGTCACAGTTAATCCCTTCCTGCTTCTTTCTGTTGCATAGAAAAGGGTTTCAGCATGGAAATGATTGTTACATATAAGATTGGGATATCAATTTCCCATACATCTTTTAATCCTGATCTACAAAAGGCAAGTAAGGGATGGGGAGGTCAGTGTGAAAAAAGTCTGATTGCCAAAACCAGGCTTCGCTAAGTATCGGGCAGAATGAAAATTTGTGTTAGCCAATATTATCCTAGGACACTTCTCAAAACTCAGCATTGATGGGAATCACTTGGGGATCTTTTTAAAATGTCGGTCTGGCTCAGCAGATCTGGCGTGGGTCCTGAGCCTAATACATTTCAAATAAACTCTCAGGTGATATTCCCAGGGATTATGTTTGGACTAGAATGGCCCTACCCACTAGTGTTGAGGTGAGAGACTGGGATCACCTCTGGAAACAACAGTCCTGGTAAACGTATCTGACAGTTCATAGCATTTCCATCAGTAACTCTAGAGGGCATCACTGGTTTATAGTTTGACTATACCAGGATGACTTTCAGTTTCCCTGAACAGTTTCTGTTTGGTTCGCTAACTTGTACATTGAGGTAATGAAACATGTAATTTCGAAATACTTACAAAAGATTTTTAAAAGTTAAAAATTGTTCTTCTGCCACTGGTATTAGCTAAGGATTTATAAAGTCAGTAGGCATGCTGAGTTATATAACATCTGCTAAAAGAGATTTAAGATCAACAGAAATTGTCTTACATAATGCTTCAAGCAGTATAAAATCAGGCTTTAAATTGGTTTATTCTCATTGAAACACTTGTACCCTACCCGTGAGAATTCGCATTTCCATCCCAGGCTTTTTGAGTGATCTATAGCAAAACTTTTCTTATGTGTGATATTAATGATATTGTTTGATGATTTCTGCATTCTCTTTGATCATTTTTCTTTGAAATGGACACATCCATTCCTTCTCCCTTCTAATTTTTTCTAGATTCCTATTTCACACGCTACATTAAAGGATGTTTGCAGCTGTTCTCACTATGAGTCATGCAACATCAGCAAATGAAGGTCGTAAAAGCTTATTCCCTTCATGCCATTAAGATTGATCTAGTTTGAGAAGGTGGCTCTTTCCATTTACATTTTGAATGCCTTCCAACCTCAGAGGCTGATCTGGCCCAAACCCAGACAGTGTTCCACTGCCTTCCTAAAGTCTTCTTTTCAAAAGTAGACTGCCAGCTCCTTCTTCCAAGCTTCACTAAAACCTGTCCACCACGAGCATCCCTTTTTGTATATGAATTACTGGTGGCAGGGTTTCCAGGGATAGCAACGCAAGCCATCCCAGTACTACAAACTGGCCCCTGCGGAACTCGGGTAGGGCCATGACCTTTGGGATTGCCAAGGGGAGGTAACAGCCCTTTAGAGTTGAAAGGAATCAGGTCTTTAGAAGCTTAGTTGTGGAGCGTTTTTTTTTCCTAGTAGAAGCCATTAAAATGATATACTCTTCTATTTAGTTTTAGCTTCATAGTATAAATATGTTATAGTTTCATTATTTAGTTTGAAATATTTTCTAATGTGCCATGTGATTTCATCTAGAACTCCTGATTATTTAAAAGCGTATTTATTTTTTTAATATTGGTGTTTTCTAGGTCATTGATTTCTAATGTTAAAATGTCTCTGGTCAGAGAGAAGACTATATGATTTCAGTATTTAGAATACATTGACATTGGTTTCATGGCTGAGTTTATGCATACGTTGTTAAGCATACCACGTGCACTTGAAAAGTGCCTTTCCCCTCGAGCCTTAGCGGTCCCCTCTTCCTAGAAGTCCCTCAGGGGAAACCCAGAAGCATCTTGCAGTCAAACAGCCACAGCAGAAGTGCGTGCAGCTGTGCACGCTTTGTGTTCTATAGTTTTCTATTAACTAAAATTTAGAACCTTCCCAACTTCCCGTTTTTCAATGTTCATTTTCCATTCTCTCTTTGCTCACAGGGATACCCTTACATTTTACTGACAGATGTCATAGATTTTCTGTGTAAATAGGTTGTTGGCTATATCTTTTGAGCAGATCCTTTCTTTCAAATTAAGGAAATCGAAGTTAAAGACTTGTCTGAGATCCCATCAGCTGCGATGTATCACTGGTAACATTTTTTTTTAGGACACAATTCCCACTTTAGGAATTTTGAGAACCACCAAATCCCTCACTGCCTTCACATCCCCTCTGTGACTAATTCACAGGGACCCTGGTGATGATGTCAGAAAGCATGCTGCTAACTACAAGGTCAGCAGTTCAAAACCCACCAGCTGCTCTGTTGGAAAAAGACGAAGCTGCCAGTTCTGTAAAGATGTACCCTTTGGAAACCCTATGGAGGGTTGCTATGAGCCGAAATGGACTGTGGCAGTGGTTTGATAATGCCATTAGACAACTGTTGGGATGAGTATAATTTAAAAAGAGAAGAAAAGTCTCAGTTGTTGACAGTGCAGTCACCGAAATTCTGGCATTCTTTTGTGGCAGTACAAAAGGTGTTCTAGAAAGCATTTCGGCCAGACATGAATGAGAATGGCAGAGCAGGACCTAAAACACTGCTCTTCTCTTCAAAGCGGAACAAAAAGGCCAGCAAAAAGCCCCCCCCCCC